GTCAAGACTCAGCACATGCTGTCAAACTGGTTTTGAGCAAGGTACATTTAGAAATCTTCTGGCTAGAAAAGCCAAACTCTGAGATTCAGAGATAAGCGCTGGCTGTAGCAGTCCGCAGTGTGTGCATACATGAGGGAGGTGTCTTTTATTACACGATTTAGGCTATTTGACATACCTAAAAGCTTTGTGGGATCATTGGCAAAAGTCTTAATATAATCATTTCATTTGAAAGGATGAATTTCCAGATCCAGAGGAGATGAATGCACCCTGACAACTGAGCTTGCACTTGTCCATCTGCATTGAAAAATGTAAACAATGACATCATCAACAGCAGCAATGATAATAATAGTTGTCATAATTATTGATAACCAGATGCTAGGTGGCTAGTAGAATGGCATCCATATGCTTAGTTTATCTTTTCCATAAACTAGTGGGGAAAATTCTAGTACCACACCTATTCTGCAATGGAGCAGTCTAAAGTCTCGAGAGTTGAACTGATTTTCCTGTTTAGGGGTGTGTAGAGTTAGATCTGACGTTAATCCACTCACTGTAGGGCCTGTGCATTTGACCCTACTTTAGATAGTCCTGCTTGATTGAAGGTTGCTGTTGGTATTTCCAGAAGTCTGAGATACATGCTTTTCTTAGTGATCCTGATGCACTGGATCATGTGAAGGGTTCTCAATGGCAGTTCTCTCGAGTTGGGCCGGTGACACTCTTATGGTGTCATCAAGAGAGTGGTGTAGATGCTCTGGCACCTTTGGTTTCTTAAAGAGTTAGGAAAGTTCTCAACCCCTTAACTCTCTCTGCAGCCACTGAGGCACCTATGGGAAAGGAGCTCATGTGTTATGCACCCATTTTGTGTGTTATTTGCACACTCTTGAGAGTCACTGTTAGGTAAAAGTCTGCATTCATGTACGTATTACTGGGGTTCAAATCCCGGCTCTGCCACTTCCAAGCTGTCAGCTTTGGGCAGGAGAGAGCTTCTTATCTTCACTTTCTTCTCATCAGAGTGCGCTTGCAGGAAGTACCTGGCTGGGCAGCAGAGAGGATGCTCTGAAGGTAGGGGCTAAAGTGTTTGGAGTAGCACTGGATCAAGTACGCAAGGCGTTGTGAGTGTTTGCTTCCATGTCTCTGCTTGTCCAAATTCCTGTGTTGGAGTCTCACATCTGTCAGGGCTTAGCTCCCATTTCCTTGGTGTGGGTAGTAAAAACTCATGGCACACCTCTTTAGACTTGCTCTCTCGATGCCCTCCTTTAATATGGCGATGGCATGCACTAGGTCTTTCCTGAAATGAATGAAGGGTGGCCACAGGATGAAGCATGACTGCAAGCAGTGAACTTGTACTCTGCAGGCCGCTCATGGGAGACTTCTCCGGAGTAATTAGTGTGTGTGTGTCACGCGGCATAGTGGGTGGCTTCATTGGCAGAAATCTCTGCTTCACAGATGCGGAGGATGCAAGTTCAAATCCCAGGTGTCAGAGTGCCCTCTTCTGAGGCTGTAACATTCATCTGTGTCCCCAGCTGGAAGGCAGCAGGCCATCTGTGGGACTCCTAGAGACACATCCCCTCCTTTCTGTCCTCATTCTCTCCCCGGCTCTATCTTAGTTTCTCTCCTTGTTCTGTTTATTCTGAACTAGAGGCCTGTTCTAGTCTGGTACACTCTGGTATTACTATCCTAGGAAAAAGTTTGTTTCCAGGTAAATTCTGACCTTCTGGGAAGATGTCACCACAGTGATTTTTTTTATTGTTGTTTTGTTTTTGTGAGAAAAAAATTATATTTGAGTAAATGCTCAAAATTGCTGCTGCTGCTGCTGCTGAAGAAGTTACACAGAAGCTGCAGAATTGGGGGAAATTCTAGGCAGAGTTATGAAAAGACCCATGGCACATGAAAGGTAGCCTTTCCTGGGAGTCAGACTGAGCCAGCCAGTGAGGAGGGAGAGAGCCATGGCGGTAAGGGAAAGGAAGAAAACTAGCCCTTTGACATCTTGTCAGCCATAGCCAACAGGGTGGTTATATTTGGTTGAGATGAGAAACAGTTAAATGACTTTATGTGAATTTTTACTTTTTAAATTTTTATTTATTTTTGGGATTAGAACATGCTTTCCTCTATTTTGTTTTACTTGAATGCATTTTTCCATGAGTTCTCCATAGTTATCTATTTGTGGCTTTCCCCTTATCATACTGTGCATGCTTTAACTATGATGTATAAACTTAAAGTCTTGCTGAGTTGAATGCCAATATTTCCCTAGCTCTGTCCATATGTCTGTTATTATAGTTTTTTTCTTTCATAAAGTAGATGTTTTACAGTTTGTAAATAACCAAGTTGACGAAATCTTTAGTGAAGGACTTAAATCTCTGTGATTGGGGAGCTCACACCTTTTAACCCTGCTCTTATGTCCTAGCACGTCCCCAAAGCAGATGAAAAATGCATGCCAGAATTGTTGAATAATCTGTGATCTTCATTTGGGGAAACACCTGTTTGTTTTGTGCTCAGTTTTCTCATCCACTCCTCCCCCAACCTTCCAAAGTAGGTATTCTTGTGCCTTTCCATTGATTGGACGGGGAAGCTGGGATTCCAATACAGGGACTCTTCTAACCATCTGCAGGCCATATAGGTGGACCTCGGCTGTTAGACAAGATGACAGAATTATGACATACTCATAACCAGAGAAATCCTCTATCGGTAGCTTTGGTGGATTTCTTCACGTGGTCTCTGCTCCGTTCTTGTCATTTCAGTTCTAGGTACCAGCTCTCAGATGGGAGCTAAGAAGTTCCAAAGAGAGCACATCCTCCCGCAGAATTGATGCCTTGCTGCCTGTCATCCCCACCTTTACTGACGCCATGACCTGTTGGGAATTTCTTCTCTCCTTTGAGCCATTTTGGCACCCAGAATGTATGCTTTTCTTTCATATACGTCCTTGAACTCTTCAGTTCAACCCAGTTCCTCCTGTGTGGTTTTCTTCTCATTCACCTGTCACCTGGCCTGATCTGTGCAGTCTCTTTTTTCCCTTTTTTTCTTTTTACTTAAGTTAGAAACAATCTTATTTTACATAGCAACCCCAGTTCCCTTTCCCTCCCCTCCTCCTCTGCTCCCCACCGGCCTCCCCATCCCATCCCTCTTTTGCTCCCCAGGGAGGGTGAGGACTTCCATGGGGATCATCAAAGTCTGTCACATCATCTGGGGTAGGGTCTAGGCCCTCCCCCTTGTGTCTAGGCTGAGAGTGTACCTCTATGGGGGGTGGGCTCCCAAAGTCCATTCATGCACTAGGGATAAGTACTGTTCCACTACCAGAGGCCCCATAGACTGCCCAAGCCTCTTCACTGACACCTGTGTTCAGGGGGTCTGGTTCTGTACTATGTTGGTTTCTGAGCTGTCAATCTGGGGTCCATGAGCTCCCCCTGTCCAGGCTAGCTGTTTCTGTGGGTTTCTTCAGCCTGGTCTTGACCCCTTTGCTCATCACTCCTCCCTCTCTACAACTGGATTCCAGGAGTTTGGCTCAGTGCTTGGCTGTGTGTCTCCTGTGCAGTCTCTTAAGGGCACCTTATCATGTAAATGTGTGCTTTGTACACTGTCAGTGTGGAATTGTCTCTGGGACAGTGAGAGAAGGAAGGTGTATTTGAATTCCTTGGCCTTGAGGTTAGGAATCTGTTGAAAGCCTGTCAGGTGTCCTAAGCAACCCACTGTCAGGCTGCCTCCTGTGGATGCCTGCTTCTTGGTGACCTATCTGTTCTTACTACCTGCCTTGTAGTGGCAATGTTTCCTTTTCTATAGCTACTTGTCTGTCACAGCTAGATGGTGTAGAATGGGATAAGTGGATATTTTGGAGTGAAGGCATGTGTTGGAAGCCAGCCAGCTGAAAACTGACAGTGGTGCATCCAGAATGACACAGTTTTCAGAATTCACTGGATGTCTAGTGGCAGTTGCCAGACTGCTTATCAGAGTTGTCAAAAGGGACATTTTCAAGAGATTGGAGTACAAGTGGAGGCAATATGTTGGGGGCATTTATCATAATTGCTAGTGTACATTGAATGGCAACAGTGTGCCAGGAATAGGTACTTTCCAATATTATCTCTAATCTAAACATCTGAATGGCAAGATGTTTACTAAAGCTCTGGTTCTGATAGGAGCATATACTGGGAGAATAGTGGACTGTTGCATAGATTTCTAGTCTTGTTATTTTGTTAGACATACAAGGAATCGTTACCTGCTTATAAAAGACTTCAGTTAAAGAAAGACTTGGACTAGATTCTTCTCTCCTGGGAATGTTTGAGAGGATGTTTAGTGGTCCTGCAACTACAGTCCCAGGTCTCTATGTGGCTTTCCTGGGATTGATGGATAAACAGTCACGAGAGGATCCACTCAGTTTTAGGCATTTTAGGAAAATCTCAGTGGCCTTTATTACACAGAGGGATCAAAGCTGCACCTCTGTTCTTTTAGGGATTAGCTGTTCCCATTGCCAGTACCAGACTTGGGACAGTGGTCTGGTGTGAAGGTTCCTAATGCTTGTTGACAAAGGGCTCAGTGGATGATGCTACCTCTTTTCCTTGGCCCTTTGCTATGCTGCTGTTGGCAGCATCTGCCAGTGAACACTGAACTGGGATGCTTTGAATCTGTTCCAGAGAAATCGTTGGGCTGTTGTCTGCTGCCCACTGTCCATTATTAAAGCAGCAAAGTTAAGGTAATGACACTCAGTTTGTGCAGGCTCAGAGGAGCACACAGAGGTGTGATAATGGGTGGTAGTCTTTTAGCTAATTTAGAACAAACCTATATTTTCTGACTGAAGATTCCACACCAGTCCAGAATATTCTTGTTTTCTCCCATCCCCATTTCCCCCGCAGCTCCCTATCATATATTTTCATGTAACTAACTCCATTTTATCTTGTAACCTTTCAACCCGAGGGTCTCTTTCCCAGGGAAATACCATTTGAACATCCAGAGAGATGTCCTGACTGGCCAGCTCTCAGTTCCTTGCTGGGCAATTATTATATAGCTCACAATCCTTTTATGGCTTATGTGCAGGTTATTTATTTCATTGGTTTTTCGCCCTCCCCACTTAACATGGATTCACCGATAGCAGGATCCCCCTTCATCTCCTGTAGCGTGGCTCTTCAGAGTGAAGCATGATGCTGACCCACGGACAGATGAATGTACTGGAAGAACACGGAAGTCAGGAAGGCAAGCGTGGTTCTATAGTCGGAGGCCAAGGAAGATGGTGAGATGGTGATGGCAAGTCTTTACCTGACTCCTGTGAATATTTAAGACTCTTTCAGCTGGGTTGCTGAGGCCTCACACAAGCCATCAAGCTTTCCCCTCATGCTCAAGGGACAGAGAAAGCGAGAGTCAGAGATTTGCTTAATATACCTTGACTATGGAAAGAGGTTGGACGGAAACTAAAATGAGCATGGTTTTTGGACAGGAAAGTGGACACTCCTGAAAGATCTTGAGATCTTTAAGGGATTTGCAATGGAACCCTTTGCTGTTTAGAAGGAGAATAGAGTGAAAATGGGAAAACTTAAGATATGAAGACAAATGCTGGGTTTTTGCTAGAAAATTCTGAAAAGCTACACTCCAGTGGAACCTTGAAGGAAAATAGCTTCCTTTTTTTTTTTTTTTGTACTTTAAATGAAATTCCAAGCTAAGTAAGGTGAATCCAGCAGTGGAATCAGCCAAGCTTCAGCTCAAAACATGTGGAGGTGGAGACGAGGGGTGGTACTCAGGTTTTCTAAGGCAGTTTTGCAGGTGATCGAGCTTCACCCTAGAGGCTGTGCTGTGCTGTGCTGCTGTGGCTGTGATTGGTTACCAGGCTGTGGTCCTGTGATTGTGATTGGTTAGCAGGCTGTGGTACTGTGGTTGTGATTGGTTAGCAGGCTGTGCTGTGCTCCTATGATTGGTTACCAGGATGTGGTACTGTGGTTGTGATTGGTTACCAGGCTGTGCTGTGATTGGTTACCAGGATGTGGTACTGTGGTTGGTTGCCAGGCTTCATGGGACAGAGATAAGAAAGGGTTGGAACTGTTCTCTGCTCATTTCTCATATGCATCACCTTCCTTCATCTGTATTATTACTGACAGCTGACAAGGGAATGAGAGGGGAGAACACACACAGGACAGAACCTACAAAAAGAGATGGGAAGAGGTCCAAGAGGGACTGAGGATGTGAGTAGAGTAGATTCTGTAGAATGAAAGCAACTCAGGTTTGATTTAATTTTCATTCAGTTATTTCCTGTAAGCAAAAAGAAATGGACACAGGTCAGTGCAAGGAAGAAAAGGAGCTGTGAAACAGAAATTACATTATGGTGATAAATAGGGGATGGTTATGTAAAAGGTGGTTGTTTCTGAAAGAACGAATCATGTGATTAATTTCTAAGAAGACATGTACCAGATTTTTGATCCAAGAATTCCTTGTATTTCCAGAGTTGGGAGGAGTATTGAAGCTCGTCATTAATTGCTTATACTGTGAAATAAGCCACTGCACCTATTAGGTCACGTAAAGGAATACTTCTGGTGACTGGAGAAACCTGAGTTTGAATACTAGTTGCCTCAATTATCAGTTGTGAATTAATGGACAAATTATGTAACCTCCTTTAGCCTCACATTAATGTCCTCATGTGGAAAGTAGGGACAAATATTGCTTAGAGGGATAACACTGGAATAAACTTTCTTTGAATTATCTGGAGGCACTGTTAAATGTGTTTGTGCTTTATTCTTTTCCATTTTCCCTCTGAATTATTTTTTAAAAGGTGACCCTAATATTTGTGGGGTTCATCCTTACAGACTTATACACCTTGTTTTTCCCACTAGTCTTTTTGAGGATAGCTACATTATGAACGTTTATCCACAGCACCCATTCATCAGCTAATTAGAGCCACTGAATTCCCCTTTCATAGCAGACTTTCCCATCTTTGTTATGGTGTCACCCAACAGATACATTTTAGAAGCTTGCTCTGCTGGGCACCACTCAAGCCCTTATAGACTCTAAGTATGGCGACTGTGTCTATATGCTCTTTTTGCTTTTAAGGTTTATTTATTTATTATGTATACAGTTATTCTGTCTGCGTGCCAGAAGAGGGCACCGGATCTCATTACAGATGGTTGTGAGCCACCCTGTGATTGCTGGGAATTGTGCTCAGGACTTCTGAAGAGCACCTAGTGTTCTTAACCTCTGAACCATCTCTCCAGCCCCCATCTATATCCTCTTATTTAACAAACCAGTCAGTAAGGGCAGAGTTCAAGAGACAGATGCACAACAGATCTGGTAATAACTAAATGTGTTGAGTGGCACATGGTGGTGTGACAGGAGTTATATACATATAGGAGAAAAAAGACAGAAGGTGGGAGGAAGGTGCTTTTATTAAAGCAGCCAGGGACATCGCACTTGGAGGCAGATGTGAGACTACACAGAGGCAAGTTTATAGTATTTAAGGATGCTTTCACTCGTAAGGTCCTGCAAGCACCTCCTTAAAATTTGCATCCTAAATGCCCTGCTTGCTTCCTCCTGCTAGTCCTAGCACTGACTAGAAGGTGACATTTAAGCCCAGACCTCAATGATAATGAGGAGGAATTCCTTCAAAGAGCTGCTTGGTCATCAACTAAGCAAGTGAAGATTGTGTTTGCTGTGGCTCATTTCAATGTGGTACAAAGAAATCTGCGTAAATCCTCTAATTGCTAAAATTGACCCATCAACGTTAAAGACCCCTTTTAAGTGGGTCATTTTCTCCCTTTTACATAGCCATCAAATGCAGCACTAATGAGGGGTGGTATTCATCTTGTTTTACAACCCTGAGCTTTCTGTAGTCATTATCACACAGGAATTTGATTCTTTGTGGTTCTGTGAAAGAGGAGCCCAGCCTTGCTTCATATTCTCACACATAGTTGTTTTTTTTTTTTTTCATTACCAAGGGGCCTTGTGACTCGGTCCAGTTGCCTCTTCATTTTCCTTTTTGACTGTGGAACACTGCAGAGGTCTGTTCTCTGACAGAAGGAGATGTCCTTGGTGGTCTGGGTGGGGGGTGGAGGGCCGGGATGTCTGTAAATATCATGAATAGTACAGGTTACGTCGGAAGCAGTGCCAGTGACTTAAGCATATTAGTGCGAAACCACACATTGCAAAGTACTCAAGCTTTAAGCAAAACACTAACTCCTGAGCAACACGATGTGTTGTCTTTTTAAATATGATCTTCAAGAGATCCCCCCCCCCCCCCGTGGAGCCCTGCATCATTACAAAGTGGTCTTCCGCAGGCCTGTCAACCTCCTATAATTTAGTCTGTCTAGGGATACTCACATCTTCAACTCAGGGCAGAGGTCCTGTTAAGTACAGTTACCCCATAACCATAGCTTCCAGTCTAGACCTAGTCCAATATTTCTTTCTGGGTTTATTTTTATGATGGAAACCCAGATCACTGCAGGATGGGATTCTGCGTAGGGTTTTCAGCAAATTCGATCCTCTGGCTTGAGAAGATAAAAAATTTCCCTCATCTCACATATAGATCCTTTCAGGTCAAGTTTCAAATTCCTAAGCTCATGCTTTTACTGCCTTGTCTAAGGACATCAGAGGCAAACAACCAACCTTACCATATTCATTTTTTCCAAAGGTGTTTATAAGCACCTGGAAGGGCCTTGATTATTGTAAATTATATGTTAAGCATATAAAATGCAGGGAATTTTCTTTTGGTGTGTGTGTCACTATCATCAATTCATGTCACAGACTAACATTTTTTCTGTGATTAAATAGAGTGCTAATTCCAGAAACTCCAGATGCAACTTAGAAAACTTGTTTGGGAGATTCATAAACTCATTCTTATAGTTCAGATATGCCTATGCATACTATGTCCATATAGATGCACATATACATACATACATGCATTTGTTGTGAGCTTTCTGTACCATCAATGAAATATCTAAGATTAACATCCTATAAACAGAAGTGGGTGATTTGGGCTCAGATTGGAGCTACTATCCCATGGTCAGTTGGTCATATTCCATTTAGACCTGTGGAGAGACATCATGGTTAGAACATACTGTTGAGAGACTCCTCTAGTCCCTGCTAATGACTGTTTCTTCTCAAATCAGAGGCAGACCACAACGCACCAAGCTCAAAGTTGCTAGGATAAATGCTTGAAATTAGTAGGGTCAAGAGGATGCATATTTCTATATATGCTGCCTAGCGCCTGTTCCCTGGGTTTTCTTGCTGGCCTCTTCTGTTACTGTGTTAAGTAACTTACCATCCCGGCACCTGCTTTTCTCATCTTCAGGATGAGCGTCATGGTAATACCAACCACAAAGAGTTACTGAAAGGAAGAAAGGAGCCAGGGTTTTATTCCCTCCCCTGCGGCAGGAGTTCTAGAAAGTCTCTTTATTTCTATGATATAATCATCCCTATTTTCTCAGAAAGTTAATGTGTGGTGTGGTCAGGTGTGATGATGCCCAATTTTCTGTGTTACCATGCCAATAAAATGTGTGTTAACAAAAGCACACACTAAAATTAATATTTATAGTTCCATTCTTGCCCATATACATTGGTATTGCACTTCCTGACAAATCCAAGTCCATTAGAAAAGAGAGAGAATGAACTGTCTTTATTATGTAGCAAGGGATGTAGAGTCATTCATTTATGCATACTTATTCCGTCAATATTTATCGAGTTCTGCCTTGCGCCAGAATCTTTGCCAAGACTTTATGAAATCCACATGACTTTATGATCATTAGTGGGTTTTTGTTTGGTTGGTATTTTTTTGAGACAGGGTTTCTCAGTGTAGCCCTGGCTGTCCTGGAACTCACCTTGTAGACCAGGCTGGCCTTGAGCTCAGAGATCCACCTTCTTCTGCCTCCCAAATTGCTGGAATTAATGGTGTGTGCCACCACAGCCCAGTGATAATCAGTGTTTTTGTTCTGATTAAAAACTGTTATTTAGGGCTGTAGAGGTGGCTTAGTAGTCTTACAAGTCAGAGACCTAAATTTGATCCATGCATCCTGTGTAAAGGTAGGAGAGAAGCGGTTCCTTAAATTTATCCTCTGAACTCCATGCATGCTATTACATGTGAGCATGTGAGCTCTCTCCCCCCCCACACACTCTCTCTCTCTCACACATACACACAAGTAAACCAACCCCCCAAAACATACCTGTTGTACTGTCTACCTCAACCAATCACACCCCAAACTTTTATCATCTCCTGGTACCTTGATTTGAGAAGTTATAAGAGATCATTTTGAGAGCAAGCTGGGAAGAGGAAGAGTTCAAGTTGCCTTGAGCTTGTAGACCACAAAGAGCAAAGGACAGATGATATAAGAGTTGACCTTAATATGACTCCAGGAACACAGATTAAGAAGATAGCATCCATCCCAGCAAAGGGAGGCATGCCATGGTGAATACATTCTCCCACACTGAGGATGACCCCATAGCCCACATAAATTCAGATGAGCTGAGCCTGTCCCACACTTCCCTGTCCTCCCGTTCTGCTCTTCGCCTCGGTGCTCTAAGGAGGAATGCCATGACCGTGTCCAAGGAATCCTTCCTTTGTTGTCTAGCAGTCTCCAACATCAAAAGATGTAGCCCTGGGAGAGCCAAGAGACCAGAGCAATGTAAGACAGAAGAGGAGACAGGAATCATAGTGGACAGAGCAGTTTTCCATGCTTACGAGAGTATGAGCTACCACAGTGTGCCTGAATATATGACCCATTGGAGAGAAAGCCAGCCAGCCAGAGCCCAGACAGTCAGAGGATAGGATAATAATTCATATCTCTGGAGAGGCTACTATGTACCATTCACTGGAAATTGCACTTGAATTAACTTGATAACGCACAAAGCAATTCAAGGAGGTGACTACCCTGATGATCTCTACTTTGCCGATGAGTAAATCAAGGTGTAGAAAAGGCTTCACTGAGGACTTCATTATGAATTAAATCTGAAAGGATACATGGGATTTGCTGTCAGGAGAAAGAGTTTTCTATAAGGGGACACACAAAGTTGTGTGGCCCCTTCCAAACTGAATTCAGCACTAAGCAACTTTAATTGCCAGGACTCTGTGGGGGAGTACAGCATCTTAGAATTCTGCTCCTTCAGAAACTGTGACCTCCCTGGTTCCCAGCCTCACTGTGTGTACCATCCTGGGGGCCTTTGGCAATCCAGGTGGACCCTCAAATGCAAATTGCCAGAAGATAAATGAGAATTGGCAGCTGTATTTAATTATGCAGCCTTCTGTAATGCGTCTACACCAGCCATTTCTCTTCTGGAGGGTAATTATTCTTAGCGTGCCCATCTGAGTGAGGTTATGCTGTGGTAATTGGTTCTGAATCCTGGATCCACTTTTGTCTGAGGTGCTTGCTGGAATCCCTTCTCATGTCTGTGCCTTGAGTCTGAGGAATGCCTGTCAGAGAGACACCTTCTGGAGAGGTACTGATGCTGCCCTTCCTGGAAACCTTCTGAGGTGAGAGCAGTGAGTTCCCAGCACGATAGACAGGCTTGGAATGTGGGCCCCGCTTGTTTAGCCCTCTGAAAGCCCACTGAGAGGTCACGAGTTTTACCCTGTGCACATCTTTGTTTCCTGTTTAGAGTCCTGAGTAGAATAATTATACTTTGGGTGACACGGTGACTTCCCTATTTCCTTTTCTTACTATGCCCTGTGACGCCAAATGTAACCCAGTACCCAGCAGCTTGGCTGAGTGAAGCATACGAACTTAACATCCTGTCAATCAAATCCTATTTCCAAACTCTGTGCCCAAGACATAATATTAGTGTAGCAATAATAGTCACATGGAGCTTGTAATGCAACTCTCCATTGGTATCTATGAGGGATGGGGCCCAGTGCCCCCTAAAGTTACCAGAATTCATCAGCGAAGGTACCATCACCATCTCTCCTATGACCTTTCGCTGTTGTCCTTCCTGGGCTTTGGCCTCTTTGTCAGGAACTGGAGGGAACTGGTATGACGCTACTCCCATTGGGCATATCTGAGTCTGTGTGCTGGAATCTTCCAGAAGGGAAGAGACAAGAGGGGCAGTGTTGGTTTGAATGTACATCAGTGTTACCTGGGATGCTGTTTCAGGAAGTTGAGAACTTGGCTTCACAGGGCACTACCCCCATGCAGGCTCCTCTTTTTTCCCCTTCCCTCCTGCTCCTCGTCTTCTTTCAAATATCTTAATTTTCTTTATGAGGTTACTGCACAAGTCATAACGCAGGAGACCCTGAAATAGAGCATGTAAAGCGAAGAGGAGTAAAGGGGGCTACTTTCAAAGACTCCCTCCTGTAGGTTATGAGAGTTGGTGTTAATTGTCAATGGAATCTAGAATCCCCCAGGAAGTGAGGCCTCTGGACATGCCTGTGGGGGATTATCTCTATTACATGAATATGGGTGCGCAGACCTGCCCACTGTGTGTAGCATCATTATCTGGCGAAGATGGAGAGAGGGGGCTGAGGAACCGTGTGTATTCTTCACTCGCTGCCTCTTGATGTGAGCAGCCGCTTCAGAGTCCCAGCACCTGAACTCCCCAACCGGGATGGGCTGAGCGTTCTGCAGCTGAACGATGAACCAGAAGAAACCCTTTTGCCTTTAGGTTGGTTTTGTCAGAGTGTTTTATCACAGCAACGGGAAAAGAAAGTGAGACATAAGGTGTCTGGGTCTTGATGAGCTTCTCCTCTCTGGCTTCATTTCCTCATGTATGGCTCCTGAGCCCGCCCAAATGTGCACGCACATGCCCACTCCTACGCACCATCGCAAACAATATGGGTTGAAAAGTTTGTTTTCTGAACAGTACAATATGCTGAAATCTTGGCAGAAGGGAAATTGTGTTATGTGCTGAAAGCATCATCATTTGCTATGCGTGAAAGCTTATGGCTGGAAGGACTGATATCCCATTTGCCGAGCAAGATTTATAATCATGTGAATACGTGCGCGCGCGCGCACACACACACACACACACACACACACACACACACACACACACACACGAGTGCACTCATTTATGACAAATGTGGCCAAAACAGGACAAAGAAAGAGATAAAGAAGAGAGCGTGGCACGCCAACATGTCGGCCGTTTTTCCACAAAGGACTTTTGTTTCCTGTCTGCAAAAGCAAGCAGAAACTCACAGCAAAGGCTCCTGACGCAGAAGGCAGGGGGCGAGGTGAACTGCAGATTTTCTCATTGAAGATTTACTTCCCTTTGCATCGGTGGGCGGAAGAAAACCTTGGTTTTCACTGTTCCTTCGTGGGCTGGTGAGGTTCCTCCTGGTTGGAACCCTCTCGTTCATGAATGGGCTTGACAGCCTCCTCGCACTGAAGCACTCCCCTTAGGGATCCGGAATGGCTCTTGAGCCTTGGAGGCTATTCTGAGCATAGCACAGACAGCCAAGAGCCCGCTTTAGCTTTCAGATGGCTGTCTTCTGAAGTGCTGCTCTACCTGCTGAAGGAATATACGTATGGCAGGCAATTTCCTTCCCCCCCTTTTATGGCAGAAACAATTGCCTTTGGTGCATCGAGCACTAGCTCCTTCAAATGCGATAGTCACACAATCACTGTTTGGAGATGAGCAGTCTCTCATTTTTATTATAATTGTGGCATATCTTTAATTTGCTTGGCATAATGTACTTAATCCATAATTATAAAATATGCAACTAGCCTTTGGCCTCATTCTGCTCTCCTACCACAGAGGCCGCTTGGTGCTTTTATTAATTTAACTTTATACAAGCTAACAGATTGCCATAAAGGAAAACAGAATTTCTCAACCAGTTCAGCTAATAGCTGTGCTTCAGCGAAGGACCCCGTGGTATGTGTTGAGCAATAACTACCTCTCTCCACACTACTTGCAGGTTTTAATTGAATTTCTGTCCCCTGGATATCATGCTGAAACTGTTCATCTGTTCCAGTAAGTCTTCTGATATTAAACAAGTTCGTCAGGTTATTATTGCAATGTAAATACAGTTGATTTCCATTAAAAAATGGATGCATTGCCCAGGTGAAATTCACAGTTAAGGGAGCTTATCCTGAAGATGGCCAGGCGAAGAAATCCCATTAATCTGGCTGAAAATCCAGGATGCTTGTCTTTGCTTAGTCTATAGTCAACCCTCTTTGTTTGACGGAGGGGATTTTTCCTTCTGACAAATTTTGGCAAATGACACAATCAGCTGCATTTCTAAAGAGTCCTTGGTGGGTTTTTGATATTAACCATGCAGGTCTACCAACAATAGTTGTTTACACTCAGCAGGGTTTCTTTTCTGTTTTCCATTTGCTATCTCATCTTTAGCACAAATTGCTGATATTCTTTATTGTATTTTTATTACTTAAAATGGTTTCTAAATTTAAGTGTATTTTGATCTCATTCTTTTCCCTTCTACAGGTTCTTCCAGATCAATTCCTCTCCCTACTCACCCAACTTTAAGTTCTTTATTAAAAAAAACAAAAACCTGATATAATAAAACACCCCAAAACAAGAAAACAAAAACAAAACAAAACACCAAACTGTAACCAAACAAAAAACTTGGGGAGTCTATTTGGTCAACCTCATATGAACATGAGGCCTGCTGTAGAGTGGGTGATATTTCCAGTGTCTTTCCGTTGGAGAAAACTGATTTTCCCCTCCCAACATTTCAATTGTTAAATTTACCCTAGTAGCTAGGTTTTCATTCCATCCAACCATCCATCCGTCCATCCATCCATCCATCCATCCATCCATCCATCCATCCATCCATCCGTTTTTAAATATAGCAAACCAAAGTATAATAAGGTAAAAACAAAAGACATCACGTTGAAGTTGGACAAGACAAGTCAATAGAAGGAAAAGAGCCCAAAAGAAGGCACGAGAATCAGAGACCTACTCATTCACACCTTCAGGAACCCCATAAAAGTCCTAAACTGGAAGCTGTTATGTGTAGGTAGAGGATCTGGTGCAGACCCCTGCAGTCCCTGTGCAGGAGGCCTCAGTCTCTGTGAGTTCATGTGACCTTTCCTCATGCTGATTTAGAGCCCTTGTCTCTTGCTGTCCTCCATGCCCTCTGTCTCTTTTACTCTTTCTAGCTCCACCTTTGAGGGGTTCGTTGAGCTCTGAGGGGAGGTTGCATATTCCAATGTTTCTCCCTCTCTGTGTAATGTCTGACTGTTGGTTTTGATAATTGTTTCTGTCTCCTACAGGAGGAAGCTCCTCTAATAATAGCTGAACAAGGCACTGATCTATGAGTATATAAGGTTAAATATCACTAGGAATCACTTTATCACATTTTTTTTCATTTTTGAGACCAATATTATATGGTTTTACTCTAGGTCCCTGGGCTATCTGATCTCAGGTACTTGGTTACTTAAACACTGTTGAGTATGGGTTCCATCTCATGGAGTTGGCTTTAAGTCAAATCAGGTATTGGATGGTTACTCCTACTAGCTTTGTGACACTATTGGCCCTAGCATATCTTGCAGACAGTGCTCCATTGTAGATCAAAGGATTTGTGTTTGGTTTGATGTTAGCCTTTCTATTCTGGTAGCATACAGAGTACATACTGTATACCAAAGACACTGAAACTTAGGAGTGAGACTCTATGTATGCACCAGTTTGACAACTCCATGTTCAATGAGTTGTATAGGCATTGCCTTCAGCAGTGGGAGCTTGTAGTCAGTTTGGGGGCACAAACTACAAACTATAGTATTGGCAACAGCCTGAGTTGTTTGGGGATTCCATTGTGGCACCATTGACCAACAACTCAACTAGATGCAACCCAATCCTGGTACTCGAAGCTTCATTTGGTTACTTCTTTTTCCAGCATGTGTTTCTGGTCTCCTTATCAAAAATCAGGTGCCCATAGGTGTGTGGATCTATAGCTTTGTCTTTGATTTGATTCCATTGATCAAGGAGTCTGTTTTGTGCCAATATTGTCCTGTTTTTATTGCTATAGCTCTTTATGTAGTACAATTTGAAATGGTGATGCCTCTTGCAGTTCTTTTATTATTTAGGATTTTTTTGCTATCCTGGGCTTTTGTGTATCCATATGAAGCTGAAATTATTCTTTCAAGATCTGTGGAATTTTGGTTACAAAATCTACAGATTGCTTTTTGTAGAGTGACACGTTTTACTATGTTAACCCTGCTGACTCAGGAGCATGGGGAATCTTTCCAGTTTCAGGATTCTTCGATTTCTTTCTTCAATGACTTGAAGTTTTATCATAAAATCTTTTAGCTTGCCTGGTTAGATACACCCCAAGATATTATATTATTTGAGACCGTTTTGTGAAAGGTGTCATTTTCCTGATTTCTTCTCAATCTGTGGTTTATGCATAAGAGTATACTTGTGACTTTTGTGAATTAATTATGTATCCAGCTACTTTGTTAAAAGATTTTGTCAGCTCTTGGAGTTCCCTGGAGGAAGTTTTAGGGTCATGTTTATATACTATTATATCATTTGTCCCCCCCCAAAAGATACTTTGACTTCTTCTTTACCAATTTGTATCCCCTTGTCCTTTTGTTATTTTATTGCTCTAGCTAGAACTTAAAGTACTATATTGAATAGGTATGGAGAGAGTAGACAACCTTGTCTTGTTCCTAATTTTAGTGAAATTACTTTGATTTTCTCTCCATTTAAATTCGTGTTGGTTATGGGCTTTCTGTAAACTGGTATTATGGTGAGGTATGTGCTTGAATTCCAATCTCTCTGGGACTTTTATAATGAAAGGGTGTTAGATTTTATCACCTCTTCTGCCTCTAATGAGATGGTCATGCGGTTTTTATTTTCTTTCACATTGTTTGTATGGTAGAATATATTTATCAGTTTACATATGCTGAACCATATGTGGGACGAGGCCTACTTGATCATGGTGGGTCGTCTTTTGGGTGTGTTCTTGGACTCAGGTTTACAAGTATTTTAGCATCTATGTTCATAAGAGATATTGGCCTGTGATTTTCTTTTCTGTTGGGTCTTTATGTGTTTTGAGGCATTGTAAAATGAATTAGGTAATTTTTTTCTGTTTCTATTTTGTGGAATAATTTGAGGTGCATTGGCATTAACTCTTCTTTGAAAGTCTGGTAGAATTCTGTGCTAAAACCATCTGACCCTAGGCTTTTTTTTTTTTTTTTTTTTGAGAGAGAGAGGGAGTTTTAATGACTGCTTTTATTTTACTCGGGGTTATAGGTCTGTTTTAATTGCTTAAATAATCTTTTTTTTAAACTTTGGTAAGTAGTATATATTGAGAAAATTATCCATTTCTCTTAAATTCTCTAATTTGGTGGGATACAAGGTTTTAAAGTATGTCCTTATGATTCTCTGGATTTCCCAGTTGTCTGTTGTGCTTCCTTTTTTCATTTCTAAGTTTTGTTAAATTATATATCTTTTCTCCACCTTTTAGTTAATTTGAATGAGTGTTTGTCAGTCTCACTAATTTTCTCAAAGGCCTGATTCTTTGTTTCACTGATTGTATTGCTTTGTTTTGTTTTTGTTGTTTTAATTTTATTGATTATTTCTTGTCTGATCCTTTTTGTTGTGCTTATTCTTGTTGTTGTGGAGCTTTCAAGTGTGCTCTTAAGTTGTTAGCACGAGATATTTCCAATTTTTTATGTAGACAGTGATATGAACTTTCTACCTAGAACAGCCTTCATTGTTTCCGGAAGTTTTGGTATGTTGTATACTTATTTTCATTCAGTTCTAGAAAGTCTGCAATTTTTTTTCTTGACCCATTTTTCATTCAGTGCAGAGCTGTTCCTTTCCCATGAGTTTGTAGGCTTTCAGTTCTTTCTCTTGTTGCTATTCATCTTTAATCCCTGATGGTCAGATAGGATTCGGAGAGTTGTTTTGGTTTTCTTGATTCTGTTGAGGCTCCCTTTGTATCTGAGTATGTGGTAATTTTTGGAAAAAGTTCCATGAAGTTCTGAAAAGAAGGTCTCTTCTTTTGTGTTAGAGTGAAATGTTTTGCAGATTTCTGTTAAGTCTACTTAGTTTATAACTTTAGTTATCGCCAGCATTTCTCTATTTAGTTTTTATCTGACCTGTTTATTGGCGAGAGTGGGATACTTAAATCTCTCACTATTAGTATGAGACTTGTCTATCACAAAAACTATCTGAGTGTGAGGATCAATATGTGATTTAAGCTATATATTTCTTTTATAAACTTGGGTGTTCTTGTGTTTGAGGTATAAGATTAGAAATGTCTTCCAAGTGTATTTTCCCTTTGAGTATGTAGTACCCTTTGCTATCTTCTGATTAATTTTGGTTTGAAGTTTATTTTGTCAGGTTTTAAAATGGTTACATCACTTTGTTTCTTAGGTCCATTTTCTTGAATATCTATTTTCAACCTTTTACCCTGAGATGATGCCTGTCTTGCATGTTAAGGTGTGTTTCCTGGATGACACAGGAGGATGGATCCTGTCTGTACATACATTCTCTTAGTGTGTGAATTTTTATTGGGGGAGTTGAGAC